TTTAAGATATCTAATAAATACTTAATTGGCCTTTTAAAATCTTCAATAAATAATTATAAATGTAATTATCAAGATCTCAATTTAATTTTACAAATTAATTCCGTAAAAAAAATAATGAATCCAATAACTTCCCATTCTATTCTTGAATTCCAAATTGGTTTGACAACTTTAATTATATAATAGTTCAAATTGAAATTGAAATTCAAATTATTAAAAGTTTTATTAAGTAAATCCCAAATAAATATCTAATGGGCGTCTAAAATTTTTAGAACCACTTAAGCGTAAGCGGCAAGTTAAGCACTTATAGGGAACCTAAAAGTAAAGAAAGAGTTTCTAAAAGGAAACTAAAAATATTTTGAAATTCTCTTTATAAAAAATGTGAACTATCAAAAAATTATAAAAATGGCAAAGTAAAACCCTTAAAAGCTTTCAATACACTCACTAAGACAAAAGTTTAAACAAATCTAATATATAAGGAGCGACTAAGAAAGAATACTATTGATAAAATAAGGATAAAGGGAGAAAAAAATAAGAAACAAAATTTAAATATAAAGAGAAATGAGGGTGAATGTAAAGTAAATAAATAAATAGAATAATAAAATTTGATAAAATAAGCTAAAAGATGGAATTTCAAGAAAAATTAATAAAATGTGAAGTATAAATAAGTGAAAAGGTATAAAGAGATAGTGTAAGAAAAGAGATATATTTTGATAAATAAAGATTTGAAGAAATTACTAAAAAAGAATAATAAAGATGAGAGAATAATCAGAGAAAAAATAATAACGAACACATTACTAATATAAAGAAGGAAAAGAAGGGAAATAATGTGGGCTCTTTAGCTTATATTAGTAAAAACTTATTGTTGACGACCACTTAACATTTTTAAAATAATGAAAAATTAAGTGTAAAATATAAAAGAAAAGGAAGTCGTCACTCGTCCAAATTATAAGGTGGGACCAATCACCTAAAACGAATCTGCGCAGAGATCGAGGTTCGATTAGGAGTGAGGAAGGGTATACGCACACCTCATAGTCCTTCGTTTAAACACGGTTGCATACTTTAACATTGGGGGGTTTAATTCAACTTACTCATTATGTTTACATTTGGGTCTTAATAAACAAACTTGGAAAAAGAGATAAACCAAATTACGACATTTTTAACCTTTTGGACTAAAATGGATGAAATCAAAGACATGCATGCACAATGAACACAAGTAAAAATTAAAGGGACTAGTTTGATTAAATTTGAAACAGGGGGGACTGATTTGATAACACTCAAAACATGAAAGACTGATTTGAAAAGAGTTGATACCTATGGACTAAATTGCTTAATCATAAAACTTTTGAGTGAAATTGAAATGAAGAAAGATAATTTTGACTTTTGACCAAGATTAGGGGAAATTAATTAATTAATTAATTAATTTGACACTAATTAAAATTAATTAAAATTAATTAACCATATTTATCAACTTTTAATCAAGATCATTAAATATATCTAATAATCTCAAATCAAAGTCAATAAACATAATTAATTTATTCAAATTAAAGTTAATTAATTTTATTAATCATAAATTAAACTAATTAACCTAATTAATCACTAATCATGGTTTTACATATATATTTTTTGTTTTAACTTTTTAACCCCTTTTTTTAGTTTGGTTTTTTTTTAGTTACCATACTGGGTCGGGTTAACCAAATCCAAAAACATGATCCGAATACGAAATGCGACCCCCAGAAGATAAAAAAAAATGCAAACACGCAAAAAGATTAGGGTTTATCTGATTTCAAACAAAATTTCTGCAGAAAGCATGCATTCGATTTCAGATCCA